AAGCTGCCTGTCGGAAAAGGACCTGGGGGTGTTGGTTGACAGCTGGCTGAACATGAGCCGGCAGCGTGCCCAGGCGGCCAAGGCCAATAACATCCGGGCTTGTATCAGAAACAGTGTGGCCAGCAGGACTAGGGAAGTGATCATCCCCCTGTACTCAGCACTGATGAGGCCACACCTCAAATACTGCATTCAGTTTGGGGCCCCTCACTACAAGAAGGACATTGAGGTGCTGGAGCATGTCCAAAGGAAGGCAACGAAGCTGGTGAAGGGTCTAGAGCACGAGTCTTATGAGGAGCAGCTGAGGGAACTGGGGTTGTTTAGCCTGGAGAAAAGGAGGCTCAGGGGAGACCTCATCGCTCTCTACAACTACCTGAAAGGAGGTTGTAGCGAGGTGGGTGTCGGTCTCTTCTCCCAAGTAACAAGCGAAAGGACAAGAGGAAATGGCCTCAAGTTGCACCAGGGGAGGTTTAGATTGGATATTAGGGAAAATTTCTTTACCGAAAGGGTTGTCAAGCATTGGAAGAGGCTGCCCAGGGAAGTGGTTGAGTCACCATGCCTGGGGGTATTTAAAAGATGTGTAGATGTGGTGCTTAGGGACATAGTTTAGTGGTGGACTTGGCAGTGCCAGGTTAACAGTTGGACTTGATGATCTTAAAGGTCTTTTCCAACCTAAATGATTCTATGATTCTATGATTTTAGCTTCCTATTCCTATGGAATTACACAAAAGAGAAATGTCTGTCTTAATCTAAGTCCTTAAAGCAAAGATATTGCTGAACTGATCTGAAGCAGTACACACTGGCACTGATTTACCTGGACCATTACCAGAATTACAATCTTCACATTTTTAGGTCTTGGAATAAAATCCTACTTCATATCTCTGCCAGTTTGTGTCTGGCATATTTTTGTCCTGTGCCTAGCTGTGTCTGGCTGTCGCTATCAGCTTTGTTTATGAAGCACTTAAGTGTTCTACAAATATAAAAAAAAAAAGTAGTATAATAGCTAGTTATTTTTCTTATTCATAATACGTTATATCCATTATAGCAAAAGCACAATGTTTTTTGAACTGAAGGAACTGCATGACTGTAAATCATTAAACACTTACTTCTTTCACGAACCACTGGCAAAAGGCAGGTCCAATCCACTCTCTTGCATGAATCCCACAGTCTATCCAGACAGCTTTCTTGTAGGGCCGTGATCTTTTACCTAACTTGAAGTGTGAATATTCATAGAAATATCAATAGATCTCATGACATTAATGAGGCATAATAATGAGAAAATAATAGAATATTAGAAACACTAAACCATTTTGAATTTCCTTATATAAAGGAACACAAATCTATTGTTTTCAAAGGTATGGCCAAGATAACGACATGCAGGTATGCCAAGATAATGAAGCTGATCTATGGGGAAAAAAATTACAGGAGAAGTGAGATCTGTCAATTCCTCTTTTATTAAGAATGATATCCTTAAATATCACATGGAGCAGGGTGAGGAAAAACTCTGCAACAGCAGATGAAAAGAAAGTACATTGAAAGTAAAATTTTTTTTGCGTCTCGCTGACACCCTCTAATTTGTGGTCCTAATAATGTGAGCTGAGAGCACGCAGCTCTGAAATTTTGTCAGTAGCTAAAGAAGAAGCATATGTGGCACATGCTGAGAAGGGCTCCAGAGTCCTCTGGGGTCCCTCTCCAGCAAAACTGCTTTCAGAGTTGTCTATAAACACAAAACTTTCCAATTCCCTTAAATCCAAATCCTGCTAATTGAACTTGTCCTGTAATCTATCTCCATGCATATCCAATCCAGGTAAACAGGATTTGGCTTTTAGTTTTCCAGCTTTTTATTTTTTGTTCATCAAAGATGGCATTCAGAGAGATATTTAGATCTTAGCAACTCATCCTTAGGAAACACTGTAAACCTGCGTCTCCGGTGTACACGCTGTAACATAAGTAACAAAGTGTCTGTCCCTGATTCCAGATTTTAGTCTGATTAATGACTATTTCATCTTTACCTTGAGTACAAACAGTGGTCTTCCTTCATAGGATTTTCCAACAGAGAACATGTGAACAAGATCTGAATGAGTTTTATTCAGATGATGCATCCAACCCTGGATCTGCAAATACAGAAATAAAATTGTTGTTTCAATCTTTGCATTTCATGGGAAGCAACCGTAACACATTTATTAATCTCAGCTCTCAGTCATCTGTTTTTGGATTTTCCTGTAGTTTTCCTTTTTGTCTTTTTTTGTTTGTTTTTTTTTGTTTATTTGTTTTTGTTTTCACACTTGAACTATCATTGGGCTCTCATAGCTCTACTGCCAGAGGCTGGATGCAGCCTTCAGTCAGATGGGATTTTTTTTCCCATTTTTGTTGTTGGATATTACTGGAATGCATTAGCTGTCCATCGAAAATCTGGGGATGGGGCTAATCCACCATTCCCACTAAATATTAATGGCATGAAGAAAGAAGGTCCCAGAGTCTGCCTGCCAGGACACAGAATGGCGAACAGATTGACCTGCAGGATTCAATGCTACCTGCAGTATTTGTTTCACAGGCACCAGATCTCGTTGAGGTGCAGCAGCCTCCATGCTCAGCCCTAGTGACTTCGTTTTGGTGCAGATGGAAACTGTATATGTGAGCACACTGAAGTCAACAGAAATTGTTTACCCAGCTATTCTCCAGGATAGTATCCCTTATACATGAATTTGTATCTAAGTGTTTTTAAGTCTTTGGGCCTCTTGTGCAAATACTTAAGCATTTGCTCATATTGCTTACTTAAATGACTCAGTGAGACCGATCACTCACTGAAATCTCTTATTCCATCAGAGAAAAAGACCTACTTTAAAAACAAAACTCAGAAGCTGTCAAAGATAGTTACATGTAAAGATAAGCCTTGAATACAAATATTATGTATTTGTATTGAATACATATATATTTTCAAAAAGGTGCCTACTGTTGAAGAAGAAACATTTAGAACACTTCTGAAGATGAACAAGTAACCATAACTTGTAGAGAGAGTGAAATCTTGGCCTTATTAAAAACAACAGTGTAGCGGATAAGAGGAATAATATAAATTTTCACGTACTTCTTCCAGGGAGTGATACACTTCATAGTTATACCCAGAGAGGGACCTTCGATTCCTATATGACCTCAGTCCAGTTTGGTTTTCTATTGCCTTCTGTAGGTCTGATATAAGAATCCTGGGTAAAAGAAGATAGAAGTATTACTGAAAAACTAGTAGAACACACAGCCTAAAGCAGAACGACAATCACATTTAGAAGAAATACAGCAGGAGTTAAACCATCCTGACGTTACTTCATCTGTTATATTTTGACAATAGAGTGCTTCAGGCTTATTTGAATATATGCTGCCAAATAAATAGTCCAGCTGCTTCAAAATGTAACAGTGCCTTCAAAAAACACAATGAGCTTGTTAAGCGAATAAAACAGAGTGATGTAAATAATGTAGCCAATGTGAAGAAGCAGCCACTTTCATTTGTTTATGGAGCAGCATTTGCTGTCTTCTTTTATAATCCAGTTATACTACGTGATCATGGACATTCAAAAATTGATTTCAAAACCATAAAAAAAAATCTTTTCGGGCTTAGAAAAACATGCACATACTTTCTCTAGGGAGTTATTGCACTGGCATGGAACATTACATATACCTACAAGTTGTAGAGGCAAAACAAAAAAAAGAAGAACTTGGCAGCATTATCATTCTGTCTGAAACACAACAAAAAACAAACAAAGAAAAAAATCTCGTGTGGTTTGTTGTTTACGTTATCTACTCTGCAATAGTTGTTTGCCAGTTATTTTAAAATAACTCAGGAAAAACATGAAACAATACTAAGTAAAAATTAAATATGCTTGCATAAAAAGTGAGAGGTTCTTTGCATTAAGAGCAAAATGCAGAAACAGTGGTATAAGCTGAAAACTTTCCTATTTTATGGCAAAACCAAATAATGATACAAATATAAAAATATAATATGGAAAACATCTAAAAAGAATTATATTGAAGAAGTTGGAGCATCTATCCTTTCCATCACACAGGGGCAGGAGCTGGGAATATCGTCACTGACATCAGTAACAACATCACTGTAAAACTGAGAATCATCCCTGTATACCACCTTCTCCTAAAGCATGGCAATGTGTAATCACCGTACCACTAATTCATCATTCCTGTAAAACAATGGTCACATTCAACCTTTTAAAGTTTTATAGGCATTAGCTGCAATGACTGGAAAAAGATGGAAAGAAACTGCATTCACTCTGATCCTAACTCAACTGTGCAGCAGATATCTCAAAGATAATAGGTCTACCTACATAAAATATCAAAGTAAAGGTCATCCCCATTCTTCAAATGTATTAGTGAAGTAATTGTATAATTAGGAATTACATTGTTCTACATCAGCAACTTTCATTAAGCAAACTAAGAGCTTATAGTCTTGACTTGCAAAGTGCTATACACTCTAAGACCAGTACTGTGAAGCATTTAAGCCTGTAGTTGGAGTAAAGCGTTGGTTTTATTCAAGTCATTAGGACATCTAATCTGTTAAAGAAATACTTGCCTGCTTTGCTGAATTCTGATTAGTGTAAGTACCTACCAGGATCAAGCTCTGTTTGTTCACTTTTACAATAATAGATTTAATTTCACAACTCCTGATTGTTTATGTGCCTGTACTCCAAATGAGACTTGATAATCTTTCTTTACTCTTAAGTAACTGCGTACTGTGTGTGCTTATAACACAAAGGCTCTTAAGTCCCTCAGGTCTGAATACAACCTAAGCGGCTTCGTTGACAGAGAACTTACAACCGAGGCAACTAGGTGCAGTAAGTTTATCTGATGCCTGGCTTGTTTTCATGACCGTCTTCTTGTCATAGTGTCACACACTGGGGCAGATAAACCTGCCTTAGAGGCGACGGCTGGTCACCTTGTTCATTATTAGGGCTGCTTAATGCTCCCTGTCTTTAGAAATTTGTCATAATTTAGGCAAGTGTCACTCCGTCAGGCTGAAGTTGTACATGGTGTTTGCCTCAGATTTTCCAGTTCCAAAAGGGATGTAGCAATTTAACTCCTTTGCAAACAGTGTGTCAAAAATAAAATAAAATAGTGTGAAAAACAGCCATGAGAAAAGGAGCTGTATGAAACCTTGCCTGGCACCTCAGCCCCTTGGCTGTGGAGCTGCACTTCAGCTCAGGGCTGTGGTCCCCACCCCAGCCGTGCTGTGGGCATGGCTCTGCCCGGCTGCCCTGGCAGCCCCGCTCCTGCTGCTCCCCGATTATATCTGTTGCTGCTCTCATGGCGAATCCTGCCGGCTCTTGTGGAGTTACAGATTTCAGGAGGCTTGTCAGGACAAGCATGCTCGTCCGAGGCTTTGCAGGGTTTTGCTTCTAATGGCTGGGACCCAGCAGACAAGGGGTCTGAAATGGGCAGCGGGGAGATGAAGAGGAAGAGCAAAGAAACAATCTGGAGCTGACAAAACGCTGCTCCGCTTCCTTCTAAGTGCACACAACTTGTGCGCCAAATGTCAGAGAGGGAAATTTTCCCTGTGGAAAGTTAATGTAATTTTGCCCTAGTATTTGTAGCACGTTGTTTCAGGTAAACTGCAGAGACCCTTCACCCTCGCAGTTCTTGCCCTTGCACGCTCTGCTCTGCAACCTAAGTAAAGGTCTTCAAGTACAGGGAGTGTTTATAACACGTATAAAATGGCCTTCTGTCATTTCATTAAAGGTGATTACTGTGAGCAGGAACAGCAGCAGACGTGAATACAACTGCCGGGGCACAGTAATTAGGGGACATTTTTGTATAAGCACCGGAAAACAATTACAGAAATCCCCATCTCATTTTTAAATGCAAACAAAACTGAAGCAGTGTTGAACCCACATGAAAGTCACTCTGGACTTCAGCTACCAGGCCTGCGTCATTAATTTCCTTGTATTTGTTTTTGTATTTTTAGAACGACAAATTAATAAGAGACCATTGTTGTTATAAAAATGGAATTCTGATAAGAGTACATATAATATACAATATGATTTGCGCCATCCTTTTCTCAGTAAGTATAAATAGCCTCACGTAGGGCTTTATTCAGCAAATGTTTGAGAATTCAAATAACTCATCAGTTGATTATTCAGATGCTTCAGCATCTCACTGAAAAGGCTTTAATGACAAGATCATTATTCTTGTCTAGTATATCATATTGATAAATATGAAATGATAAGTATACTCCAAAACTGTCTTGAATGCTTTTAAGAAACGCTATAAATGATGTGTGATCCTTAGCGTGTATTTGTTCTGCGTGACTTGCTTTGGGTCACAAGGAATGGAGACTTATAAAACAGAACTAGTACATTCCTTTATAATTCATGAAGAAGGCTTGCCTCCACATTTGCAGCACACTTGTAAACAAACCTTGCTCCTGTTAAATACAGAGAGAGGCAAAGCAGGCTGTAGAATCAGTAATCACCATCCCTCTCTTAACAGATGTGATTTCATATACACTGAAAATACTTCAGCTTGACTCCAAAGGAGGACATTTCATTAAAACTGCCTGCCTGTGGGAGATTTTCTGTTCTCCCATTAAAATGGTTGTTTTCTTGGCAACGTCTAGCTGTCTGCCAGCCTAATTGCTATGATGTGGAACATATTTTCAAGCGCACTTGGCGCGGTAGACGCAGACCTGCCTTGGAGGCCAGATCTCTGGAGCGAGGCACAGAAAGTGAAGCACAGGCTTACGTGTACTGGATGTTTGCTTGCTGGAGGTAGGGCAGCAGACTTCGGGACATGTTCTGTGGTACTCGCACGTCGGTAACCGTACCTTCGACGATGTGGAAGGGGCTGCTGGGCTGCCACAGGTCCACCTGTAGTGCAGGAACCAACCTGTAATTCACATGCATTCAGTGTAGGTGGGGAAATCCAGGAGATGGCACGCTTGAAGCTATGTAGGCAAACACTCCAGGCACGGTATAGTCAATAAAACTGTATTGGCTGGTCCAGCCTGACATCTATGCTAATGGAGCAGATTTTGAGGAATGATTGCGTCCAGCTTATCACAACTCTCATGGGAGATTTGCCAACGGGAAGAGAGAACAGTCTCAGGAATGTGCCTCCTCAAACAGCTCGAAACAAAAGCTACCTCCAACTTCATGCGCCTCCTCAGACTACTATACATTCCCTATGTATTAGCTCCTACGGAGTCCATGAGCCTTTTTTATTTCACAAGGTATTTTCTATGTTCACTAGGACAGTAAAAGAAAAGAACGCTAAAGAGAGGTAGAAAGCATAGCATATACCAGTGTTGTTTGCAAAGTGTACCCAAGATTTATTCTTAATAATAAGCAGATCAGAGGTCAGTAACAGAAGGTCACCAATACTATGAAGGAAGCTGTGATCTGCGCAATAATTTTATATGAAATGTCAAAATAACAGGATTAAGATAATCATATGATTACAATCTTGTAAAAAATGATAGCTACCAAATGATACCACAATTACTAATGTGCTATCTATACCTGCACATACCTAAGGGATGCTTCTTGTCCACTTTTACTGTCTTTTGTTGCCAAATCTGAAATACACTTGGAAATTTTAGCCTAGAACATGAATTTTCAAGAAAGCAAGAAAGTTTGCAAACAGGGATTTGAAACTCGGTGTTCTGCACCCTGTAGCAAAATGGTGTTGTACTGCTCAGCCGTACCAACAACAGATGCACATACTCTTCAACAGAGGTGAGAACAGTTCCTCCTCAGCCAGTGTGAGGACAGCGGTGAGAACACAAGCTAACGAACCTCTTCCCAGAGCTGCTGGATAGTCACAGGAGACTATGGAAAGGAGTATCAGCAACAACCTCTGTGTCAATGTGACAAATATGCCTGTCAAGATCCACAGGCCTTAAAAATATGTAAGTTTGTGAGCTGAATATAAAGAGGGGAATTGATAGGGACTACCCCGTCCCCACATTTCTTAAAGAGAATTTAAAAGGAATTAATACTTGATAAATAGCTTTTTAAGTTTATTGCAATCAGCTGTGCTAGACTGCATTGATGAAAGTCATGGATACAGCTCATGAGTGTCCCTTGCCTTACTTTCTTTCCAGGATTCTAAGAAGGTTTTTAAAATCTGTGTTTTGAAAGCTCCCGACTTCTTCTATGCCGTACAAGCTATTTTGGAATATCTAATGCACTTCACCTGGTCTTGCTATGAACCTCATTTGAGAAGAGAGTACAATCTTGCAACAGGGGTTTAGTTCCCACCATTTCTCAAATGGCCCTGAGTAAGAATATTCTGATTACCAAGAAGGCATCTGATGCTGACCCTGATGCTACCTCCTCAAGCAGTAGTGACTTCAGCCCAGTTGGAGTCCAATTGGAATCCAATTGGAGTCCAATTAAATGCCTGCTACTTTGGAAGGAGAAAAACTGAAACACAGGGGCAGTCTCTTCTGTTCCTGCCAAAACCACTCTTTGTTTCACGCTGCCACAATATGGTCTACGGATCCATGTGATAGTGGCGGGTGGGCGCAGTGCCTTTTGAAGCCTAACACCAGGACTGGCAAAGTTCATGAGGCTTGTGAGGCTGACAGCAGCTATGACAGATGGTCAGTAGAAACTGAACTCATGAATTAAATGGTGCTAAATGCTGCTTATAAATCAAGATCCTCTCACTGTGCTAACACCTTATGTTTGTTAGTTTATCTATCTTTTGTATTTTGATTAATTATAGACATCCAGTGAAATCCCCCCCTAATTCAACACGGTTGATTTCACACCTGGTTAATTAGAAATGTTTATTTGACTTTTAAGATTTATTCCTAGAAATACACATCACAGAGGGTAAACTTGTTGCTTTTGGAGTAACAGTGTATCAATGAAGCTCAGCTTGAGCCATCTTTATAAAAATAACAACAAATTGTTATACACAAGCCAAGAGCAACTGAAATGAAGTGTCTCCTGGCCAACTGCAATATCTAAGCACACAAAACTGGAAATAGAAGTTACAAAAATGAAAAAAAAAAATCACAATTGAGATACACCTGAAACTTGTCTTTGTTCTTGATAGTTACTCAGGATTAATTTTGGCAAATTTCTCCATCATCGTGGAGGGCATAAACCAACCAATATTCACACTATTGGTTACAACATCAAGTGTTTTAATTTCTGAGGTATTCTAATTGTCCCTCACATTACTGGCTGCAAGGGAATATCAAAAGCAGAAGCAATCTTCCTTTAACTAGTGAAATCAGCAGTATACTGCACACTGCTATCCTCTTTTGGCGAAAATGCAGTATTTCACTCCTGGAAGTGAGACAAAAAAAAAAAAAAAAAAATCCCATTTTTAGAAGCAAACCACCCCTCTTCAGCTCAGTTCCCTATTTGGGTAGTTCAGTGTTATTTGACTCCCACTTCTCATCCTTTGCAATGTAAACGAAGCATTCAGTGCCCATCTGGGAGATGTTACCTGTGCTGTCCAGAGCACCACTTCAACTGCTGACTTGATTTTGCTTTATGAAGCATATAACAAAAAACACATCTCTCCAACAGACACCTTATTTATATTGCAGCTTTCAGTCTGTCCTTGGCATGACATAGAGACAGTGCATGAAAACTGACAAATAGAAGATGGATTTCAGAGCAGGCATGTTTGAACTGAGCAAGTCCAGTTACTCGCTGTCAACTTTAGGAGACTTCACCATTGCATCTCCCATGGATACTGAGGGCTCCATTGGGGTCATCGCTCTCCTTTGAGCATCATTCCTCTGGCAAGCATGCCTTGATTTCCACGCTGGGCTCCGCTGGCTAGCGAATGGTAGTGATATTAATTGTTCTCCTATCCTCTTTACTATCTGCGATGGGGTGTTGCTATCCCCACATATTACACATTAGCTATTATATAGCATTATGGATGGTGTACCAGTCAGTGCCAAAAGACATTTATTTGCTGTGTGGGTGGTGGGATTTGCTAGGGGGGGAAGCTACAAAACAAACAAATGCAGAAATCCTACAGAACCCCCTGAACACACAGCCAAATACTTGAACCTCAAAATTCACCTGTTATCTTGAGGCTAGAGGAAAAGAGATATGCTTTAGAGTATGTCTGCAAGCCTAAATATTCTCATCTCCTTTGCAGAACTGTCTCCTTTGCACGTCTCTTCCTATCTGTCAGGCAGCAAGTTGCCTTTAGAGGGTCTTGGGATGTTTTAAGCCTCTGGACAATAAGCAGAGCCCAGGCAGGATTTTTCAGCAGACTCAGACTTGGGACCTGGAGACCAATTACTCGGCACCTGCTGCTGCACTCAGGTGTGACTCTGGGTACCTGTTATCAGGGACAGTGGTGGCTCCGCAGATGCCCAGCGAATGCTCTTTCCCAGAATCTCACTGGAGGCACAAGCATTCTGACTTGCTTTCTATGAGAAGAAATGGTATGTAAAAGCATACAGACAGCTCCCTTTTCCCAGAGGATTTAAACACATTATTGCTTTATTTAACAAAGAACGTATAAGAGATTATTAATCGTGACTACACAGTAAGTGTTCTTTTTTAACTGCACAGTCTCTTTTCAACCTCACTCGTCCCATAAAAGTTCCTGGGATTCAGCTTGTGCTTAGGAAGGCCAACACTCCTTGGGTTTCCTTGTAGGCAGTTTCTCTTTAAACCAAGGTGTTACAGACAGCTCCAGAGTATAAATGTATCAGCTCTTACCTGGATGCCTTCCAAGCTACAGCAACCCTGAATGCATTAGTCACGTCTCTAGCTTTTGGTCAGTATGGTGATGAAAACTCAGCACAAGGCAAAGGGACAAATATTTTAAAAAGATTTGGGTGCTGAGCTAAGAGAATTCAGAATTTCTTCCAGAATTAAAAATAATGCAAATAATTTTCCAAGAATACAAATGTTTCATTGGTATAATCCTACATATCACAAATAGTGTACACAAAGCTCTGTTGCCCTGCCAAGACAGAAACCAGAGCAGGGAGTTTTTTTCTTCACTAGTTCCAGGTTTTCCTCCAGCTTGTTCTGTGCCTGTGGAAAGGGAGCCTGAGAGGAAAGGAGTCTCCTTGCTTTTCCCCAGGAACACACTCACGGCTCCATAAATCCCACAGACCTTTTTTCCATTCAAGTCACTGAAAGAAATCCCCAGCTTCTTTAGACCACAGGGCTTAGTCCAGCTCATACTTTGTAATTCAAGCCATTTTCTTGGGCAGTAGCCTCCAGTTGTTCCTCACTACTCTTTCATAAACAGGTATTTAATTTCTTCTTCCATTTGGCCTGAAAGGAAGATGCTTAGTGCTCTCATCAGGTCTGCGATCGTGTATTGATCAAAAGAGATGATTGATGCTTGTCACTGAAAATAACTAGAATAACTCTGCCATAATTTACATTTAGTATCTGGAAAAAAATGTTTATATGATTTATCTGTGTTATACCCCATGAAGACAGTAATTTTGTTATGCTTTATTACCTAGCAATTGCATCCTTTATACTTATTGACTTGTATACAGCAATACATGTGCCAAAGCTGGCCTTGACCTTAAGATCACTATGAACAGGTTTCTTTGAGAAATACTCTCAACTGTAAAGTTCAGAATATAATTATTGTTATGATGCCATCAGTAGAAATGGCTTGGCATTTCTACTCCTCTTGTAAAAGGGAATGTGCAGTCAGTAATGCAAGCAGTGATGCTCTTTGCTCATGGGCTCTATCAGCGTTTCATGGGCTCTCTCAGGATGTATGGGTTTTCCATTTACATCCATACGCTCATGTATAGACACATAAACACCTAAGCAGCCCTGAAACTCATTAGATATGTTTTCAATTAGAAACCTGATAGTAGAAGGTAGAGAATAGAAGAAGTAGAAACTGCTCTAGTCTCACTGATGTTGTCAGAGGTCTAACTGTCGGAGGCTTCATCACATAACACACAAGAAACATAGTCACATATATGTATGTACACAAACACCCCTTGCACGCACATATACAGTGTGCAACAGAATTTTAGGCTTCTGTTGGTACATTTGCAAAGAAAGAATGAAGGAAGAATGACTCCTGTTGACTCTGACACCGATGGATAATTATAGCTGTGCTGTAGTTCACCTGGAAAGAGTAGAACTGCTCCTCTCCAGTGTCTTCACCCTTGCACATTATTTTCAGGATCAGGACTGATTTCATCCTCACTTGCTCCTGCCAAATAAGGAACTTGATTGACAGTCCTGACTGCAAATCTCCTTGAGCTGCCCTTTATGTGCAGCAAAATGGTCCAGTGGCAATTAAGTGTGGGATTCCCTGTACTTTCTAGAAGGACTTACAAGGTAGTCCTAGTTGCTGGTGCAAAGTAATTTGCGTTTCTGATTGAGCACACTAGACATTTAATTGGCTTTAACTTTTCAGTATTTATTTCCTTTTCAGTGAGGCTGGTAAGAATAATTGTGCCAATAAATCGGGATTGATTCACAGGATTGCAGCAGCCATAACACTGGCAGGAACAGAATGCAAACAATGCACAGCTTGAAGTTTTGAGTTTTGCAGATCTTTGTGGAACTGTAACACAGTAATGATCTTGCCACTCTACTTACACCGGTGTAATTTTACACAGGGC